TTTTTTTTGGCGATTTCGTTTTTCGCGATTATCTCGGAAAAATTCAGAAAAACGTTTGTATCATTTTTCTGAATAATCTACGACTGTTTTTGAAGCTCTCAATGGTTTGTACTTGGTCTCATTATCATGTACAGTAAATTGTTCCGTTTGTACTGCGATGTGAGTGGAAGTACGGAAGATGAGACGTACCCACATCAAAACTTCACGAACTACATATGGAATCCATTACGATGATTTTACGGTTGATAAAAATGGAATCAGGTGATTTGATTAGAATAATAATAATGATAATAATAATAATGATAATAATAATAATAATGAATAATTTCAGTTGGTACAAACGAGTACTAACGATTTAGAAGCTATCTGTATGTTTTCCTGACGTCCTTCATACATTTAAGATTTTCGAAGCGGGTAAAGTATTAAAGGGGTTGATAAATGAAATGGAAAAATATAGTACATACAAGTACTATCCATGCTGAATCCTTGCTCATGAAAATTTTTTCCGTACCTTCATTTCCGACGCTGCACGATTTTTTCCGCACCCCTTACGTCTAGGGATGCGTGGTACAAACGAAAATGAATGTGGTACGTTCAGGTACTCACTGAGTACAATTGATACTATAAGAAAAAAAATCTATTTATCAAACTTCGACTCCAATTTCACACAGCTGAATATAATCTATTTAGTAATGGAGTTGAGAAAAGAATAACAAAATTTGAGGCGAGGAAATTCTACAGAAAATATTCCAATAGAATTGTCTTGCGAATTCATTAGATTTTTCTGCTGAAATTTTTCGCGCGGTTCTTCGCTTCGATTTATAAACCCATCAGTGCGAAGATACTCGTAAAATTTTGTTTGTTTCAATGAATAATTGTTCTTTGAAACAATTTGTTCGCTCCAAAAAATAATAATGAAATAAAATTATTCCAATCACGAGGAGATGATCTACCTCTTCAGGAAGAAGATGAGAGCAATTTGCGGAGTAAAGTGGCTTAGCAAAACTCAAAGCTGAATTATCTTTGTCCACCTGAAGCGTCACCGTTGTCTTACCAGTCCTGACAGGTTCCACGGAGTCCTAGAAGAAAAAGAATTTGACCCCTACATTAATAAGAGTTTAAAATATACTGATCAAATTTTAGAAATAGTATAATAATAATAATCAAATTTTTTCGATCAATGATGAATTAAATATTTGATGATATCAAACTGTAAATTCACCATCAAGTAAAAAATTCTAATTTCTGAAAAGGGAATTTTTGATTACCCAAATAAATCGTCTATCTTCCCATCTAAATTATTGATTAATAAAATAGTTCAAAATTTGAATATTCAAATTGATGATACTTAAATAATTAAGAAATTCAAGAGTTATGTTTATTAATAGACAGCTTCAATATTTAACCGTTATTATAATTTATGGATTTGGCTATCGCGGCTCAATCCTGTTCCGACTGTCTGACAATGAGGAAAATGAAAAGAGAAATCATACGTTCGCATAAATGTGGAAGGTGGTGTCAGTCCGCAGGTTCAGAACAGCTCTGGTCTGTAAACTCGCGAACTGACGCTTGGAATTGCTAGGATCCACTGACAACCGGGATATCGCGAATGCCTCGCTGAGCTCGTCCTCGGGGTCGAGGAAGAATTTCATGTCGGATGTGGTGATGTCCAGGTCTACAGCCGATATTTTCTGGAGGAGCTCCAATTTTACACCGCTGGGAAAGGGCATGGGGAGCCTGTAGACGTAGGGAGCACCCTCAAACTCGGGGTCGTGGTTGTTCGTATCCCTTATCGGTTGTATTAATTCCTGAAATGTTGCGGCAGTAGGGGAGATTGGGATAAAACGGACACTTCACTATTTTCCAAATGTTAATAAGGAGTTGAAATGTTGATGAAATTTCATTTTTTTTTTCAATACAAAGAACAATTCTTTCCCGTTGTGACGAGCCTCAACTGGGCTCAATTGATAAATTTGTTTCTGAGTTATGAATAATTTTAAAAAAGTTTAAAGTTTCCATTTTACCCCACCCTTCCCTATATTCAAACTCAGCGCAAGCCGTTTAGTGTAGCGAGGAAAAATGAATTTTAAATGAGCGAAAAAAATTATTCAGTTCAGTATTTTTTATACTCACGAGTTTTCGTAGTTCTTCGTCTTGACATTTGAAACTGACAGTGATGTAAATCCCCTTCTTCGTCTGTTAGAAACAGGAAATACTTTATGGAATTTTTTTTTTCTTAGGCTGGGGGGGGGGGTAATAAAATTGTTATAAAAGAATAAAAAATTGCAGATTGTTTTGTGTCATTTATTGCAGATTTGAATTTGAATAAATGGTGATAGCGGCTCGAATTAATGATTGTATTGTCTTGTAAACATCTTGAAATCCAGCGGATTTATGGGATACTAGCGATTATATTATATTAATTTATTTTATTGTTTCCTTTCCAATTTTTCTTTGCGGGTAGATTAAATTAAATTTATTGGATTCTATTCGCATTGTAGTATACAAATTGTGGGAACAGTTTTTCTCATTTTCAAATGAGAGATATTTATGTTAAATAATATCAGTATAATATAATAATTCCTCTCAATAAAATCAGATCATGAAAATCAAGTTATTCGTTTTTATGATCTGATTTCATTGAGAGGAAATGAGAAAAATGCAGGGAGAGATGATCAGCAAGAAAATAAAAGAAAACGATTTTTTATTTTTCTGAAAAATTTAAAAACTGATTTTTTTTAAATGACGAAAAAATATCAATATGTTCCCTTTCTATGATCTAATTTTAATGGAAGAAAGTGAAAAAAGAACAGATACGTGATCAGCAAGAAAATAAAAATTTCTATTTTTCAATGTCTCCGGAAAGTTTTAAAATATATTTTTTCAAATAATGAAAAAATACCCATCAATTCAAGTTCCACCCTCACATTTTGATAGAATACATCAAGAAAATAGCAAAGAATAAAAATCGGAGATGAAAAATTTTATCGGATTAATATAATGTAATTCGAGAATTAATCTGAAAAATCAATTGATTGACTTGACCACTTTCGTACCTCATACTTCTCATAATCGACAAAGTGCTCAGTCAGCATTACCACTATTGATGTGCCGTCGATAGTGGCATTCATGTACAGTAATCTCTTGTTTGAATCGGTGGTTGTATCGTTGATTCCCTGAACATTTTCACCGATCAGAGTGAGCAGGATCTTTCCCGGTTGTTCCGTGTCCTCGATCTCCGGCAATATGATGGAAAACCCCTCGTCTTCGATCGTTGTTCCGTCCTCCCGTTTTAATACACAATCTTTAAAACGAACGAATGAGACAAATCATGGAATTTCATAAAACTAATTTTATGAAGTCATGACGCATGAATGATCTACAGAATTAATTGATCACGATTAGTTATGGCATTATCTTCACATCTGTTCGACAACAATCGAATCATTCTTCCGCATTATGTGGGATTTTCTTATTAATGAACTCCAATTGATGATTGAAACACTGTTTCGTAAAATTTAAAGTTTTTCTGAGCGCAAAAATTAATTTTTGCATTTGCTCAATTGATCGTAAATATGAAGGTCATTTTCCTGGATTTTATCTATTTTTCCCATCATCTGTTCTCCCACTTTAATACAGAATCTTTAAAATGAACAAATGAGAATAATTTTTTAGAGATCGATCAAAAAACGAATTCTGGGGAATTGGGAGTCATGACTAATTAATTGATCACGATTATTAACGGCATTATCTTCACATCTGGTCGACAACAATCGAATCATTCTTCCGCATTATGTGGGGTTTTCTTATTAATGAACTCCAATTGATGATTGAAACACTGTTTCGTAAAATTTAAAATTTTTCTCAGCGCAAAAATTAATTTTTGGATTTACTCAATTGATCGTAAATATGAAGGTCATTTTCCTGGATTTTATCTATTTTTCCCATCATCTGTTCTCCCACTTTAATACAGAATCTTTAAAATGAACAAATGAGAATAATTTTTTAGAGATCGATCAAAAAACGAATTCTGGGGAATTGGGAGTCATGACTAATTAATTGATCACGATTATTAACGGCATTATCTTCACATCCGGTCGACAACAATCGAATCATTCTTCCGCATTATGTGGAGTTTTCTTATTAATGAACTCCAATTGATGATTGAAACACTGTTTCGTAAAATTTAAAATTTTTCTCAGCTCAAAAATTAATTTTTAGATTTACTCAATTGATCGTAAATATGAAGGTCATTTTCCTGGATTTTATATATTTTTCCCATCATCTGTTCTCCCACTTTAATACAGAATCTTTAAAGTGAACAAATGAGAATAATTTTTTAGAGATCGATCAAAAAACTAATTCTGGGGAATTGGGAGTCATGACTAATTAATTGATCACGATTATTAACGGCATTATCTTCACATCCGGTTGACAACAATCGAATCATTCTTCCGCATTATGTGGGGTTTTCTTATTAATGAACTCCAATTGATGATTGAAACACTGTTTCGTAAAATTTAAAATTTTTCTGAGCCCAAAAATTAATTTTTGCATTTGCTCAATTGATCGTAAATATGAAGGTCATTTTCCTGGATTTTATATATTTTTCCCATCATCTGTTCTCCCACTTTAATACAGAATCTTTAAAATGAACAAATAAGAATAATTTTTTAGAGATTGATCAAAAAACGAATTCTGGGGAATTGGGAGTCATGACTAATTAATTGATCACGATTATTAACGGCATTATCTTCACATCTGTTCGACAACAGTCGAATCATTCTTCCGCATTATGTGGAGTTTTCTTATTAATGAACTCCAATTGATGATTGAAACACTGTTTCGTAAAATTTAAAATTTTTCTCAGCCCAAAAATTAATTTTTGGATTTACTCAATTGATCGTAAATATGAAGGTCATTTTCCTGGATTTTATCTATTTTTCCCATCATCTGTTCTCCCACTTTAATACAGAATCTTTAAAATGAACAAATGAGAATAATTTTTTAGAGATCGATCAAAAAACGAATTCTGGGGAATTGGGAGTCATGACTAATTAATTGATCACGATTATTAACGGCATTATCTTCACATCTGTTCGACAACAGTCGAATCATTCTTCCGCATTATGTGGGATTTTCTTATTAATAAACTCCAACTGGCGTTCAATTAATTAACAATTAAAACACTATTTTCGTAAAATTAAAAACTTTTCTCACTCTTCGCCGAAATCTCTCGCGCCACAAACAGAAAAAGCAGAAACCACCGCGAGGATTTCTGCATTGCACTGGAGTTTGATTGATCGAAAACGTTTTACACCGCCGATGTTGCTTCATCTAAGGGACAGCGATGATTAAAAAGAGCTCCCTATCACGATGATAGATAGCCGATAAGACATCGCTGGAGATAGCCCTCAGTTGTTGATCAAAGAGTGAAAAAAAACAATGTGAGGGGCTTCATAAGCTCCTAAAGAGAATTCGTGGCAATTTTTTTTTTGCAACTTTTTTCTAATGATTTCATTTTTTGTGATGAATGCCTCTGATTTTATAGAATTAGCCAGATGGACATAATTTTATATTTTTAATTCAACTTTTTCTATAGAAATTTTTGTCTACTTTATTTTCTTCTCGTTTGACTCATAAAAATTGAACGAAAAAACTTTGAAAATTGGAGTCGAGGAATTTCTATTTAAATTTTACAGTTTTACTTTAAAATTTTTTTATATGTCAATTGATGAATAATCAATTTCTGGATTAATTTATGAAATAATTTATCATTCAATGAATTGATTAATTGCTCAATGAACTGCCGCATCAATTGACAAATCGATTTCCATTAAATTTCTATTAGTTCTGGCGATTCTATTGGAGAACATTTTCAGTAAAAACTATTTTCTAGAAAAATTCAGTAGAATTCAATCTTTCTATTCGTCTTTCTACTCAGACATTTTTTATAGGAATTTTCCAAGCTTTTCTCCACTTTATTTTTCTTTAATCACTAAAAAAATTGAACGAAAAAATTCTATAGAATATTTTCCATTTAAAAAAATCGTAAACAAACGGAGTTTTCTCTAGAATCAGCCAAAAATTAATAAATAACTTCAATAGAAATTCTACAGGTTTTCCAAGCGAATTCATCACGTTTTTTAATGAAATTTTTTGTACGTGAGAACGAACATTCGTATGATTCACGAATACAGGAGCTGTTCTCATCGATATACCGCTCCGATTGAAAGTTGTTTCTAAATATGGAGAGAGAGAGAGAGAGAGAGAGAGAGAGAGAGAGAGAGGGTACAATACAGAATCGCGTCAGCGTGTTCAGTGGGTGTATGGGCAGCGCATCTGTCAAAAAAGAGAGTTTTCCACTGTTCCCAGGATCTCCCAGTGATTGGAACGCGTATATTTGATCGGTTATTGAGCGATTAATTTTCAGTAATAGGACCAGTGCAGTGCTGATCAGTTAATCCACACCGATACATGGATTACATGGGACTCAGCAGTCGGTTTCCCGAGGATAATATTGTAAGGAGGTTATTCCCATATTTTTACGAATTATTGCAGATCCTGGAATGTTTTCCCCTATTTTTATCAACATTTTTGCGTGATTTTTTGCACTTGTTTTAGGGGTGGAGTGTGGATGATGAAAGATTGAGGGAACTCTTCTAAAAATTATTTTATCACCATGCATTTTTCAATTCCTGATACTCAGGAGTTTATTGATAACAGTGGAAACTCATATTTGGTAGGTATAAAATAATAGTGGTAAAGTTTATTGTTGATAATTAGTTCGTTTGTAATCCTAAAATTGCGTATATTTTTTTTTTCATTGGGAAAAAATCGAGACATAGAACAATATTTTTATTTTATTTTTTTTCATTTTATCTGCACATTCTAATTATTTTTTCCATCAAAGTTATTCAAAATATTTGAGGAATTCATGCAAAATATATTGCTTGCTATCGAAATATCTTTTTGAAGATGAGATCAATTTCAAAAATAATTTTCAATTGGTTATTGGATAGATATATTAATCACTCACTCGTGTATGAAAAAAATTAATAGAAAAACCTAATGCCCCCCTTGAGGAATTCTATTTGTTTATTTACGCTGTCATTTTGTTAACAGATATTTGATAAGAAAAAGTTAACAGATTTTGATTTCTCTAGAGAGATCCTTGGGTCTAAATTTTCCAATTTGTTTCCGTCCTATTTTCACATAATAAAATAAAAGAAAAAATAGAAAATTCTTGTTCAAAATTTTTTATAGAAATAATCTCAATGGAATGAGTTATATAGAAAAATCATCTATTTTGAATGAAATTGGCGCAAAAAACTAGAATTTTCCAATAGAATTCCCATGAAAATTCAATGTTGTGTAGTTTCCACTGAACTATTAATTAATTTTATTAATTATTGAGGTCTTAGCCTCTATCGTCTGCTGTTTTGAAGAAGATAAAAATTGGAAGTGTCCTAATCATAAAATATTATAGATTACAGGTCTAGTTCTAATGGAATGATTATTTTTATCATTTGAACACTTCAAACTTTTATCATCTTCAAATCATCAAGAGCTCCTAAATTTGATCTTAATCTTACAGCTTTTACTGATAAATTCCATCAAATTTATATTGAAAAATTCAATAGAATTTAAAATAAATCTAAATTCTAATTAACTTCTAATAAATTAATCAAAACAGAAATAAACGACCAAAAAAACAAATTGAATCAGTTCAATTTATCAGAAACTAAATAATTAATTAATTAATTAATTATTCTTTAATTTAATTATTAATTCAATTTTAAATTCACTAGAATCCATAGTAATTCTAAATTCTAATTAGCTTCTAATAATTTAGAGAAAAAATAAATCAGTAGTGAAGTGGTAAACCGGTATAAATCGATTTTGACTATTGCCGAGTTTTCAATGAATATCTCAAAATCTAAGAGAAATAGCGAAATTTTTATCACAACCTTTTTTGTAGCTCTCAACTTGCTCTACAAAAAACTAAATAACAACAATTTCGCTATTTCCCTTAGATTCCGAGATATTTATTGAAAACTGGCCAATAGTCAAAATCGACTACCGGTTTACCACTGCGCTACTGAGACAAACGAATAAAAAATGAAATCACTTTAATTTATCAGAACCCCCTCAATAAATGCCTGATAAATTCCACTGAATAGATATTACAAATTTACAAGCAGACCCCCGTCAACCTAAAACCTCCCACTGAAATCTTCCAGAGTTACAACATCCACATAAACGGCCTCTTCCACTGTACAGTCCGCTACAAGCAGCTCCTCCATCTCCACGAGCACCTGACGAAGGAGACGTCCCTCCCCCTGCCGCCCTTCCCCCCGAAGAAGCTGTTCCCCCTGACCGCAGCCCAGCAAGAGGATCGTCGTCAGTCCCTGGAGAAGTACATCCAGACAATCGGTCAGACCTCGTCCCTGAACACGTCCCCCCTGCTGACGGCGTTCCTCCTGCACGCCCAGCAGGAGACCTCCGCCAAGCTGTCGACCATCGAGAACCTCGACATTTTCCTCCAGAACAACCGTCGAATCTCCCTGAAGGTCACCACCAGCGAGAGCACCTCCCGCGTCCTGAAGAAGCTCCTGCGCCACCTGAACCTTCCCGAGCACCTGGACCCCTTCTTCGCGCTCTTCGCGGTGATCGAGGGCGAGAGCAACGCCAACATTCTCCGTCGCCTCCAGGACTTCGAGTCGCCAGTGCTCACCCTGGGGAACATAAATTTCCCGGCTGTCAAATTAATGATTGGCAGGAGCTACTGGGAGACTGAGAATGACCTGAAACTCACTCAGGACTCGGTCTCCCTGGACCTCCTGTACCACCAGGCGGTGGCCGAGGTCAGCAGGGGCTGGATCCTGGTGCCGACGAGCCTCCAGGAACACCTCAACTCCATCGACGACAAGCGAGAGTACCTCAAGGCCATCAGGAACTGCAAATACTACGGTTTCACTCAGTTCGCCCCCTGCACCTGCGATTATCCTCAACCTGACACCAGGGTAATCGTCTCCATCGGCAGGAATGAGCTCAATGTGCGAATGCTCCTCGATGACAATCAGGAGCACGAGGCTGTCTTCAAGGTCACCAGGATGAGGTGCTGGAGGATAACCACTCTGCACAATGGAATGGACAGGTCTGAGGGCTCTGACTACACTCTTGAGCTGTCGTTTGAGTATCTTGTCGCCAGAAATCAGCTGCAGTGGATCACCATTGTCTCGGAGCAGGCCATTCTCATGTCTGTGTCACTTCAGGGAATGATTGATGAACTTCTCAGGAAAGGGGACGAGGGGAGGGGCGAGGGCGGCGGGGGGAAGAGCTGGAGTTATGTGATGAGGGATGGAGTCAGCAAGATCATGATTGGGGCGGAGGGGGAGGGGGAGGGGGGAGGGGAGAGGGG